ACCCTTATTGAGGCTGCTTAACGATCCGATTCTTTATCGATACCACTATCAATACTTTACTCTTACTTAGTGATGATTTATTTGGTAAGACCAGACCCAATGGGCATGAGGTAGGCCTGCACGGTATGAGGAAAATATGTGCAATAACGTATATTGAGATGACATATCACTTGCGATAAATAAACATATATTGAAGTGTACATATTAACTACCTGGTTGTTTTTAATTTAATATTTTAAATACAGCTAAATGTTGTTTCTAGAGCAGCAACATTAATGTTTACAACAGCAAAGTAACTGAATAACTTTATCTGACATCACAAGTAATGAGTGACGTTTAGAAAGAATCAGATCAGTCTGTATCAGTCCCTCCTCCTCTCTCGCTGGATGCAGGTGATGTTACCAGGTAGGAGGAAGAGGAGCGGCTGCATTGAGTTTTTAAGACTACAGACCAGTCTGTGCTCCAGACAGACAGCTTTCTATTTAGCTTGTTTTTAACATTTGGCTAATGCCAAGCTAGCATTAGCTAGCTTACAACATACAGGATAAGATACTGAGGACAGAGATGATTAAATTAACCGAAGGTTTTATTGCACGTACTTACAGTAACGAGCGTAGTTGTCATCAACTAACGTTACAGTAGTTATTATTCCACCGCGACGGCGCAGCCTCTCGCTCTGCTGCCGCTGCGTGTGTGTGTGTGTGTGTGTAGGAGCCGACAGAGAGCAGGCAGAGACTGCAGCCTGATGATTTTCTTATCCATTGCGTTGCAAAATAAAAACGAATTGACGCTCGAGACTTAACGTTATATCTCAATAGCAGTATCGATAAGCTCGAACCTTGTTGATTTTCGGGTTTTGAGAAATTTTGGAACCGGGTCCTTTTGGAACCGGGTCTCGATCCCTATCCAAATAAACTTGACTTGACCTTGACATGCCTATAACATCAGTTTTCCATTGACCTCCATGCATTTCTGACATTTTACATTTACTTTAGTGTTTTGCATTTGCTAACACTGCAAGTGTTTATTCTTTTCAAAGAGGTCAACTGTATTAATCGACAGCCTGACCTTGAGTGCCTCATTAAATAGTGATGTACTGGATGATTAAGTATTAATAGATGAAGCAGTGATGAGTAATGTCAGTCTTCAGTACAAGTTTTGGTGGCTGCATAGAGAATGTTAATGCATATAAGCACATTCACACTGTAGATACATGCATGTACACTTTCATGCTTGAAGTCCTGACACATGACTTGCGGACTCCGACTCTTTCTTTCCTTCACAGCTAAATGAAGCAGGGAAGCCATGGCAGCGTCCAACAGACAACCTCATTTGTATCATTTTTCATTTGTTCATTCTGCCTCAGATCTCTCAAAGAGAGAGAAATGAGCAACAGAGGAGGACACACAGATAGAAAGAGCTAGAAAGACAGAAAAAGAGAAAGGATGCTGAAAAAAAATGACTCTCAAGAAAGAACATTGGGTAGAATGAAAAGGCCCTTGACACCCACTCTCCACCACTACAACATTGTGCATTAAAAAGGCCAAAAAACAGGATCAAGACTCCTATTTTCTCTGATTTCCCCAAGTGTATGCCAAACCACGTTAGCTGAAAGTGATAGGGAGGGCATTAAGCTTAATGCAGCTGCTAGCTATAAGCTCCCAGGGCAGGCAGGGAGAAAAGTGGGGCCTCTAATAAATTAAATAAATGACTTCCCCTGCCTGCTGCAAACTGTCCCCGAAGGACCTTTTCACACTCTGGAATGATCCTCAACACCCAGTCATCTTCAGTCTTCTGCAACCTGCTTCCTTCTCTTGCCTTTTCTTACTGTGGACTGATCTTCAGTACCCTCTAGGGGAGATCTCTGGTAATTTGATTCTTTTTTCTCGTCTTTCACATTTAAACACAAGAACAAGTAGTAGCTGGATAAATTATCTGACATTAAAGAAGGAAATAATGGACAGCTCACCTGCTCAGGACATAAACTAAGCTGGGTATCTGTAGATAAACTGGGCATAACTGACCACCTTTCCAATTGGGCTTGCACTGTGAAACTAGATTCTGATCTACTAGTGTGTGTTTGAAATCACAAAAGATTTTTATCACATATTAAATGATAAAAACAAAACAAAAACAATATTCCATTTAATTATGCTGCACTTGTATGGGAGGGATAAAGAACAGAAGAGCTGTGCCCTCCTTTTCCACTGCTGCATATCTTTGGGATTGTACTGCAACAACTACAGGGTGACTGACTCTGCCATTCTTGTGGGATATCGGCCTGCTGCCAAGTCCCTCCTGATTTGGCAGTAATTAACCAGGCTGTGCCTTGTTTGTGCATGTGGACATGAATAGTAGCTTGTTATTTGAACATTAATGGCTGTGTGTGTGTGTGTGTGTTGTGGACAGACCATAGTTCACCTTGGAACAGCTCCTCAGCAGCTGCGTGTCCTCTGGAGCAATGTTTATGATTCGTCAATACATCCTCCTGTAATCACGTTTTAGGATGTCCCTGACTCACAGTTTTAAAGGAAGCATGATGTCTGTATCTGTCCACACACGTGTCAACCCACCTTTGAGTGCCACAAGTGACTTTAGGCTGCTGCCATTTCCCTTTTCCTTGGGGTAGACCTTGTGTGAAAAAGTTTCTGACTGGAGGACATGCAGGAGTATGGACAATTATTTTCTTGACTTGATGTAAAATGAAACACAATTTGATTTCAAATTAAAGGTTCATCTACAACTGCCAAAAAAAGAGGAAGAGAATTTGTGGTCATAGCTGAAGATAGTCTTTAATGATCTTGACCTTGGTGTCTCTCCTTGCTAGGACAAAAGTTCACCTGCAAAATGAAGGAACAGCCAACAGTACAGAGAACATGTTAAATCCATTTGCCATCCATTAAAAGTTGATTTATTCCAGTGCTACTACGTACATTATGCATCATGTGGCAGTGTACACAGAACAATGATTGGGTTACATTTCTTCACTTTTTCGGGGTTTTCACTCTGTTATTGTTCAGTAGAAGTGTGGTCTGATTCCTGCTCTAGGAGGAAAGCCTACTTTTCAGGATAATAAAAGACTCTGGGATGCGTTTATCACTTTGACTGATCTATCATCATCAGAATAACGTCATGAATGTCCCTCACTTCTACAAAATACTGCATATTTTTTATTGTCTGGTGGAGAAAATCGTGTCACTATCAAATATTGGAATGGTGTTTTGGCAGGACTTTGTTAGTAAGAATGAGGACTGAAGAAAACAAACCTTTACAACAGGGTCAAAAACAACAGAACCTGATCATACCGCCATCAGCAGAAATAAAGTGTGAAAACAATAGAAATGTTACCTTTAATTAACCAGAGTTTCAAACCCATCATGTCCTTTATAGATATTGTTTTTCTACTGCATACTTGCAACATATTGTGCATTGCACCCAGTTACCTAAACTCCTGCGGTTCATCATTTGTCCCGTTTACTTAGCGACATCTACAATGAGGTCATATTTACAGGACACCCACTCTTGCTGTTTACAACACCCCTGGGCCAAAACGGACATCTGTCAGTAAATGAGCTATTGCTCTCAGCTTTCCCCTTTTTTAAAATCTACTCTGTCCCTCTTGTCCTTAACACTAGTACCCTCACATCTCTCTGGGGAAGACACTCCAGCATCTGTGTAAATGCAAATGATCATTACACAGTGAGTGCAACATAGAACATGACCTGTCAGTTCCCCTGCTTCTTCCTTTCTATCTGTTTTTTACATTCAAACCACTCAAAGGACTTTGCTACGGGCCAGTTGGGAATCCTCTTTGTGTGTGGGGGACTGATGTTCTTAATGATGACAGATGGCAAGCGCGAGGCTAAACCTGATGTAATGAAGAGGTGGAAACCTTAGATATACGAACAGGCAGGTGAGGTCGTAATCGAGCAGATAATCTTCCATTAGCTGTCCTGACTCATTGGATAACACTGATTGAAACAGAGACTGTAATGGCATGATAGATCCCTTCATACTGGAAGGGTAGAGTGTAGCACTGTAAGAGAAGTGAAGAGAGGTGGGAGCAGTAAAGAGTCATGCTTCATCAACTCAAGTTGAAAGGAAAAAAGCTAATATTCATGCTTGATTAAGTTCCACTCGTAGCAAACTGAATATGTTCTTAAATGAAGTGCTCTCTGGCCAGTGCAGAGCCAGTGGAAGAGTGGAATTGCTGTCTCAAAGGGTTTGACTTGGTTTGACTTCAGCCTGAAGAAGCTTGGAAATAATTAAGATCCAGGAAATAATAATGATCCTATTTGTTTGTTAGCTTCAGGGGCCATAAAGATGATTTTTAGCACTAACATCCTTTCGGGACTATCTAACTATTCAAACTACTTTAGGACAGCATGCTAGCCCGCTAACCCGCTGACTTCCTGATCTGCCTTTTAAATGTACTGTGAAATCCTAAAGATTTCTCTTCACATAAAAAAAAATCTCAGCACAACTTTAGGATGCTTTATATACCATGCCTTTGATATTTAAAATGTTGTAATTTCTCCTTTTATCATAGTGAATGTGTTTCAGTGTCTTTTAGAAAGACAAAACACGGTCTTGATGCTGTAACGTTAAAGGAAAAGCATATGATAGACAATTTGGGGAAATGCACTTATTCACTTTCTTACTGAGAGTTACATGAGAAGATTGACACCACTCTCCTGTCTGTATGGTAAATATAAAGCTACCGCTAGCAGCCACTTAGCTTATCTTATTATAATGAAAAAATGGGGAAACAGCTAGCCTGGCTCTGCAATCCACTGACTGACTGAGCCAGGTTAGCTATTCCCAGTGCTACCAGTCTTTATGCTCAGGGTAGCCAACCGTCTGGTAGCAGTCGCTTCACATTTACACTAGAGAGACGAATGTGGTATCAATCTTCGTATCTAACTCTTGGCTAGAAAGTGCTTAAGTGTATTTCTCAAAATGACGAGCTATTCTTTTAAAATTGCAGAGGGACCAATTCATCAAAGTTTCTTCAGCACTTTTATTTGTATCCTTTCAGGATTCTTTTGTATTAGCACTTTGTCTTCATCTCATATTTTTAACAGGGAATGCATTACAGAATCACATTGCAACTCTCTAGGTTCTGCAACTCTACAAACCCTAGGTATCCTAGTAAAAAAAGGGAACTTTTAGTAAAAAATGATAAAAGAAATAGAGGCAACAAACAAACAAAAGTAAACTAAAATCTAAATCATCAAGCCATCCACGGAAGATTGTGTTCCATTGTTATTTTTGCACTAAACCATGCAAAGGGGCAGAGTTGGTTTCCTAGTTCGACCAATGATGTGCGCCTGTGGGTCCGTATATACCAGCAGACCTCAAGCCATGCCATTATCTGAAGACCACAGGAAGCTCTAATTGGTAGTGGTGAGAAAGGTAGACTACTACATATTTCATTGTTATGTGTATGACTGTGCAGCATTGAGTTAAAAGTGAACATGTTCTCTAACAAACACAGTCACAAATATTCTCTCAGTCTGTCTCACTTTCGCTTACTCTCTGAACTTTTTCATTTCTCATGGTGTTAGTAGAAATAGGGGGGAAAAAAGGTTTTCAAAACATTTAGAGTTGCTGTGTAATGGAGGCAATGTTATGCATTACATTAAGACATTTTCTTTAAAGTTTTGGAGAGGAATGTATCTGAAAAAGGAATGCAATGCTGTATTCAGACTGTTAACATCGTAAAAAAGCTCTGAAATTAGTAATTAAATAACCCTCTACTATTTATACATTCAGGCACTGAAAAATCACATGTCAATATGTAACTAAAAAAGATAGTCGCTCTCATTTTCCCTTGGTAAGAACAAGGAAGCTGAAACCTTGAAGTTGGCAACTGTGTAAATTTTTCCTACCCAGTAGTAATTCCATATGTATCCCCTTTGCTCTTCTTTTGTGTGACAGTTTCTCCTCCCCCTTTCAAACACTGACCTGAAGTCAGAGCTATCATAGCCTCCTCTAAAGCTTTCACTCTAACCTATGGGAAAGAATCCATGACACTAGTCTTTTGAAAGGGAAATCCAATGGTTTGTCTCGCTCTCCTCACCGTATAAACAGATAGACGGACGGATGGGTGGACAGATGTCCTCCATGGCCTCAGAGGGCCAGCAGGTGAGCCAAGGCCCTCAGCTCCACAGACCAACTTCCCCCCTCTTGGTTAAGGACTCTCCGGTGTGATAGCCAGCTCTCACCCCAGCGACCCTGAACTCAGTCATTTTTTAACTATACAAGGGCTTTTACAAAAAAGCTAACTTGAACAGCCATACAATGGCTAAAACATAAACCATATCTCTACTTTATCTCGGTTTTTCAGTCATTTTTAATTTTTTTTCTCTTTTTCTTTTTTCAGATGCATTTGTGTTTTTCTTGATTTAAGTCTGTTTGCTTTTCTTTGTTCTTTTGGAGTAGCTCTGATCCAGTCCTGTGCTGAGAGGCTCAGTCACAGAGGAATTGGTTTTTGGATTTGATGGGTGGGGAGGAAAGGGAGAGGGAATGGGTGGAAGGGAGAGAGAGAATAAGGGCAAGGATCAGGCCAGGGTGAAGATATGGGTTCATTATTAGTCCAGACGTTGGACTCGCCAGCGGTTACAGGGATGGCTTTGGATGGGACAGAATGAGGTGATGAGTTAGTTTGGGAAAGGTGAGGCTCGATGGTGATTGCAGAAGGTTTGTCAAGGTTATCCGCTATCAGAGGAGGTGTGTGGTGCTGTGGAGGGAGAGCGCCGCCTACGGGCGGTGGAAGTCCAGGATCGCTCAGAGCGTTCAGAGCGCTCTGAGGCTAGTGAGGCGGGTCGAAAGCGGTGAACAAAGCCGTCCAGGAAGTCCTGCTGCTGCTGGGTTATGGCTTGGGAGATGAGGCAGGGCAGCGCCTGCAGGCTGCCCGTCACCGAGTCCAGCTTGTCCTCCAATGTGCCGATGCGCTTGTCCAGCTCCTCACTGCGCTCCTGCAGCTCTGACACCAGGTCATACATCACATTCTGGGTCTAATGAAGGAGAGAAAATAAATGTGTTTGGGGAGGTGCAAGAAAAGAGGGCGGGACAAAGGAGGGAGAGACAAGATGGAAAAACATTAAAAATCTGTTTTACAACTTAATATCCACAAGGAGAGGCAATACATGAAGTTTACAGAAGGCACAGTATGTATACGTTGCCATAGGAAAAAACGTTCATGTCATAGTTCATCATGAATTACATGACTAGACAGTCTAAATCTGACTTACTCAGTCTGAAGAGAAGGAAATAATGACAGGAAGCAGTGTGAAGAGAAGCTGTATACTTTCAGAAAGTCAGCATAGATTTTATCTACCCACGGTTTCACAACCAGCTTCTCTGATCTATTTATAACTAGAGAAGGTCTTTCATGCTTTATGTATACTTCTGACACAACTTATTAATAAAATAAAAAGTGTCTATATTATTATATAAATTATTATTACACCTATTGTTGGGCAGTGGGCCCAGTGTTAATGTATGTTGTATCTGCATGTAATTCTTGTATTCAGACTATGACAATTTTATGTTATAGAATATAAATAGTATATTCCATTTATTTTGAGAAAGTACTTTTCATGTGACACAGTCTATGAGTAGAACTCACAAAAAACTTTATACCCATTTAAGGCATTTTTAGACCTTCATGTGTAAGCCAAAAATCAAAGGGTTACTTCTCCTAGGGGCTTAAAAAAGAGACATTGAGCAGTTGAACTACTGTAGGGTGTACACAGATGGATCTGAACAGAGTAAGGGCAAGTAAACACACATTAAAGGAGTTGGCCTTAGAACCTTTTAAAATACACACTGTAGTGCAAATGCCATCCACATCAAATAAGGCTGCAGTCATGTACTTCCCTTTGAACCCTCTCTCTGCTTCGCTTTGGAGGGTCAGCTGACGTCTATAGAGTAGGACAGTTAAGCTACCGAGGCATGACTGCATTCTTCCTCTTACTGTGTTGACAGTGCATGGTTAGGTTCAGGTTTCCTCAAACTCTTACACTGCCATATGATGTTACCCGGAAACAGGAATTCTGTCTGTGTTGAGTGTGATTTGACAGCAGGCTTCGGGGATACTTCTGACTACTAACTACAACTACTAAGAATGTTGCAGTTAATCTACACTGAACATTGTGTGTCATTTGGTGATGGGAAGGTTATGCTGCTAATGAGAGCGGTTAGAATAAATCAAAACAGTAAAGACCCTACAAAGCTCAGCAGAGCTATGGGGAATTATATTTTAGTGATAATTCTGTACAGGTGTGTTCATTACAAGCAACACCTTTTAGATACAAGAAGTCATATGATCACTAGTTAATGTGAAAATATTGATTATATCCACTTTAACTCCACTTACCTTCGCTAGGTCCACCAAGGTGTTGGCCTGATCATTGAGTTTCCTCTGCTCCATCTTCACACTGCGCAGTCTGGTGGAGGCACAGGAAGGTGGGAACAGGAAGAGGAGGGAAGGAGGAGGAAGACAAGGGAGAAAGGGGAGGGGATGAAGAAGAGAGGCAGACAGAATAAGGGAATAGAGGAGAAGAGGGCAGTTTGCAGGAGTGGAGCATAGAGAGACAGGTTGTTTGGGGGTTATGAAGGGGCAGAGAGGACCAATAGGGAAGAAAGAAGGAGGAGGAGGAACAACACATTTTTTATCAGGCGTGCTCTCACACTGATGACATTGAAAAGAGAGAAGACAACCTGCATGCATCGTAAATATATGTACCTTACATATGTATATGTATACATATATATATATATATGAAAGCATTCCTGGTCTTGGTCAACGCAATACCAACCAAAACATGCAAAATTGCGGAAGCATAGCACGCTCATTTAGGAAAAAATAAAGACTATGTTTATCATGTTTTATCTGGGTCTTTTTTGTTATAAGACCTTTTCCTCATAATGGTACAATGCTTTAAGTAGCACGTTTTAACTACATAAAGTATTTTTCACTGCAATGAGAAACTACTTGCTACAACCCAAAAATAATTTGTTTTTGAATATGGGGGAGGGGGGGGGGGGGCATTACTGTGACAAAACATGATGTTTTTTCCAGCAAGAACACAATATGCTTCCATACAAGAAAACCCCAAAATCTATGTTTGAAATCAAAACATTCCCATCTCTTTCCACCCAAAAGTAAAACGTTAAAAAAGGAAAAAGATGACATGCCCTTTGTCAGTGCTACACACAGCTCAGTGGTAAGACTTCATATATACACACTGGTCATTCAGTAAGCGTGCAGTGACTGTGGGTGACATTGTGCACAATGAAACGTGAGTCGTGTGTGTGTGTGTCTGTGTGTGTGTGTGCGCGTGCTTGTTTGTGCATATGTACGTGGGTTGATGTGTGTATGAGTGAATGCCACAGATAAAAGATGAAGCTTGCCAGAAATAAACTGTCTAATGACAATGCTGAACATAGACATTTGAAATAACTTGCGCAATGATACATCAGACATGTTTTGTGATGCTTTCAACATTGTGCCTCTTTACCTCTAATCAAATACATTATGCCACTGTAAGAAATGGTAACGCCGATGTCAGTAATGTGTAATTGTTAGTGGTGGCATCACACTGCCATCATTCTGGATGTGTGAGAGGAAGAATTTCCCTGTTCGGCAAATTATGAGACAGGATGACATTCAAGGGCATTTATTCATGTGCAAATCAGTATATCAGAGCAGAGTGAGACTGCTCGCTTACGGCACTATCTCTGTGGGAACCCGTTTCAACTTGCATGTGTCTGTTTGCTCGGCTTTGTCATCCCTTATGGCTGTCGAAGAATAGGGGCTAAAAGTTAAATGTGCTACTTATTAGTGTAACGCATTATGAGTACAATTTTATTCTACAACCTACGTGTCTATGTGTTTTGTGCTATGTCATCAATGTCATGTTCAAGCTTTGGCATTTGATCTTATATATGTGACAGGAAAAAAACAAATTAATTTTAAAATCCAAAATGTATATTAAAACAGCAAACATTTCAACGTCATTAGAACTACAGTACATTACAGTGTGTGTGTGTTCACGTCATCACAAAAACATCAGGAGTGTAGGATGAGCTCTTTTGATGCAGGTTAATATAGCCTCTACAGCAGCTATATTAATCATGGGCAAAATTATACAGTAAGTCGTAGATGATTATGAACCGCTGGCCAGGCCAACAAAGCTCCAAGCTCATTCTGCGCAAGATGCTTTTTCTTTCACACGTTCTCTCCAGACAACCCTCCACTATTGACACCGGTGGCAAAATGTTGATGCTTTTTTTTTTGTTTGTTTCATTCCATTCAAGGGGGATGGGAGGGAGAGGGAAGTAAATGGAACACGGAAGTAAAGAAAAAAATCAAAAACGATTCAGCATCCAGCATTTCTTTTTTTTTTTTGGTAACAAACGCTTTTTTTTTTCATGCATGTCAAACGCAGACATGGATAGAGGAGGAGGAGGAGGAGGATGTTGAGGAAACAGTAGGAGGAGGATACATAGAAGACTCAACTTACTTCTGAGCTCTGCAGTGATAGAGCAAAACAAAGACAGAACACAGTACAGAGTTTTAAACCCACAACATTCACGAAACGAGTGAAACCATTACACTTCTCACTGTAAGCACAGGGTAAAAGGGGGCGGAGGGAGAGGGGGACAGGGAGGGGAATAGGAAGGACCATTAAACTACATTGCAGTGTGTGTGCTTGTGTATGTGTGTGTGTATGTGAGAGTTTACATGTGTGTGAGCATAACAATCAAAGGAAATGGTATTCTAGGAGAGGACATTGTAACACTACGTAACGCTAGAGGTGATACTACCAAATATTGTCAGCTACGTCTGCATTTCATCAGCTTGTTAGCAACACAACTGTTAATAATACAGGCAAAATATTTTACTACATTACATAACATACTGCAGTTTTAGTTTTTGGGCATGCTGAGTGATTTCCCCTTGGTGACTGGTGCTGAACAACTCTGTCATATTTCTGTCAAACATTTCATTACACATTAGATGACACATAAACCATCGCAGTGCAGGACTTACTGGTGAATGGCTTGGAGAAACTTGCGCTGGTGTTTCCGCACCTTGGCATGATCAATCTTCTTGACCAACTTAGTGTGTTTGTAGATGAGCCATGTTTCCCTGAGTACATTGGCAGCTGTGTTCTTTACCTGTGAGACACAATTGAAGATTGAAAGAATCAAATTTGAAAGTCAGGCATCCATGGTTAATATTACTGTCTGAAAAAATTTTACTACAAAGGAACTAGTGAACTAATGGCAAGTTAGTAAGTAAACTTTATTTAAATAGCACTTTTCAAAACCAGAGCTACAGTGTGTCTTTGTTACAAGCTAACATACAATACAAATCAATTAATAATTAAATACAATAATTGCAGGGATGGATAAAAAAATTAAAACAAATAAACAAAAAAACAACTACTGGAGTAACATGTTTTAAACAGTTGCCAGGCTATGCAGGTGGATGGGGGTTCAAAAACTTTGAAATGTGTCTACAGATTTAAATGTGTCTAAATGTGTTTACAAGTTTACACTTAAGACTATGTAAGATAATTGGATTAGTAACAAGGTAACAACATTTGCCCTGAAAGTAAAATATGGACCCCTTGCAAACCAGTGTCTCTAACACTGAGGTTGAGGACCTCAAGATAAATCCAAAAAGTTGCAAGAAATTTAGCGGGATTCTTTTGTCTTTTAAATGGGTTGTTTTACCTCTGGACAGGTTTAGATACATTGACTTATTAAAGCCTCTGTGTTGGGTGCGTGGACCCCAATATACCTGTATAATCTAATTTTAGTCTAGTTCTATAGGCATCTAAAAACAATTAAAAATACATATCTGGAATTTAAGTTAACAGCCTTTGAAGGCGTTTACAGCACAAATCCATATCCAACCTGAGGGGTCATATGTAAACAAAATTCTGTTTTCAGGGGTTATAAACCAAAACATTCGGGTACTCTTAAAAAACAGTACTATACGATCACCTATACTCAAGATGCAATAGTATGCTGTGACTCACTCGTTTGCAGAGTTGTGTGTCCATCATGAAATTGTGGACATGCTTCTCAGCCTTGGTAAGCTCCAGCTTCCTGGCTACCACTGCAACCACCAGTGCAGTGCAACCAGCCCCCTATTGTACAAAGACATGGTAAACAAAAAAGCAGCATTTTGTCTGTGAAGTTCCAAAATGCAATTTGTTAACTTTTAATACTAATACATTAATAATAAAACAATGAGAACCAGTAAATAAACAAAACCGTGTCATGGAGTGTCCTGGATGTTATTTAACTAGGAACAGTGAGTTGCATTTGGAGTCACTTAAATCTTTACTGAAGCACCAGCTGATAGAATAGTGAAACTGTAAAGGTTTTTTAAATATATAAATTACTGGTTAAGTAGAGCACAAGAACTAGCAAGCTGTGTTCAAGTTTCAAAGAGGTTAGGCAGGCCAATGTGTATATGTACCAATGTGTAAAAAATGATGGGTAAGAGAGGACTGTACCCAATAACCAGGCATGTATATGTGGGTGAATACAGTAAACACTGTAAAAGGCTTTAATTGATTGTTGATCACAAATTGCTCAAAATTTTCACATATTTGGCAACTCAATAAAAGTTACACAAGTACAAAAAATACAGTTAGCTCAAAGTTGTGTTTCTTTTTGCAGTTCATCATGGTTAGAGTGTAGCTGGCAGCGAGAGTAGAGAGAGCTGAGGTTTAGTTTTATAACTGTTCCCGTCAGAGTTGTGCTGTGAGAATGTTATGTATTTATCTGAGTGAAGAAAAAAGGAACCCACCATAATCCCTGTAAGCAGACACACGCCTTTCCCACAGTACGTGTGTGGTACCATGTCCCCGTAGCCAATCGAGAGGAAGGTAATCGAGATGAGCCACATGGCTCCCAGGAAGTTACTGGTCACTTCCTGTTTGTCATGATACCTGAAGTGACGAAGATAAGCAGAAGTGGGATAGACACAGTCAGTAAAACTGCACGCAATTTCTTGAACTCGAGCATGCTGGAGAATGACGTGGTGCTGTATGAACCAAACAGGGGTGGTGCGTGGAGGAGGTGGAGGTGGTGAAGATCGAGGAGGAGGAGGAAAAAATCATGGTGCAAGGTGTTACACCAATTTTGTAAAGCCAGTTTGGCAGAGAGTCTAAAAAAATGCATCGGTTCATTCTGAGTAACAAAAATGAAGGTATTTTCAATGGATTTGTGAGAGACACTATAATTATTTTCTATCCTTCTTTAAGTCTTTTCTATCTGAGACAGTTTAATGGAGAAACATGTTTAATGGGGAGGAAACTTAAACTGACATGAAGGCAGAAAAAAGCAAATAGTGTCCATTTTTCAAAGAAATTGATGGAATCATTTTAAACCGAGAGAGCAAAGCCACTGAACATGTGTTTCATGTTTAGTGTCTGTCAACATAAAAATTATACATTTGGTTAGAGGAATGATATGAAGGGGCATTCAAAAAATGGGTGTACGCTAAATCACTTACTCTTGTCACACATTAGCATAGAAATGACAATTTTAGACATGTTTCAAATGGCAAAGAGACAGGCCATGTCGCTGTAAGTGACCGGATCAAGAGTACCGCAGGTCAAACTTGCTTTAAATATGACAACCAAGAAATGTAATGTCAGCGCATCCAAAAATGCATATACTGCTGCAGTAAATCAAACTAACAATTGGCTTATTGGTCACAGTTTGCTGCAGATCTTCCTCCATAGAGTTTACTCTGCCCCAAAAAAGGTTTGGCAATGCAAATCATCACTTCAAACATGTTGTTTGCTGAAAATAGCTGACAGCCATGCTTGAATTGTCAGTCCAAAGGGCCACAGTGTGTATGCAATGATAGTTCTATAAAAAAACACACTGTACAAAGCTGGATTGATGATGACATTCCCATACCTTTTGCAGCAAGACAAAAGTCCATCACAGAGGCAAATCTGCCTTATACACCCACCCTCATTCAACTCATCTCATTATTCCCAATGGGCTGTCTAGGAGGAGATCAGATAAGATTTAATTTTGGAGTAAAATCAAATATTCATTAAACACTTTGAGACAACATCTTGCTAACATCCTTCTGACAAGACAACGTAGATGGAGTCTAATTTCTTGGGATTTAGTTTAAGCTTTTCTAAAGGGGATTCTGAATGACCCAATCATGAATTGCTAACGATTTCGAACTATCCAGCAGTGACCCAGCATGTGGACTCACAACGGCCGGAACAATCACCTCTAATTAGTGGACAAGTACAGATTGGACCACTTGGGGCCAGGCAATGAATTCCTTAAACTTTCCTTTCCACGTGAAGGCAAAAAAAAATACACTCAGTTGGTTTTGTAGAAATGTCCGCTGCTCCTTCTCCTCCAAGACAGTTCATTGTTATCAAATATCATAAATTAACTAATCATGCCTTCTGCAGTTCTTAAAACTCCCACTCTCAAGTTTCTATTCATGCTCCAAGTCAGGAGGAGAAAAAAAATATGAGCACTTTTCCCCCCTTCAGAATGACAAAAAAGTGTGCGGTCTGTGGGATTCAAGCTTCTTAAATGACATGCAGAGAAGCAGTCTGTACAATACCATGCAGGAATAAAAAAGATGTCTGCATCCTGCATGCTTCAAAGCCAGTATATTGAGAGCAGAGGAGCGATGGGAACCTCTGACAAATACTGCAGTATTATCAGGTGGAAGGGGACTGTGCGTCTTCTCGGACAGGCTTTGTTTCATTTGTAAACAGTGGGGTAGGAGTGGGTAACAAAGGAAGAAGCTCATTGAATTTGACACCCCTGTCTCTTTTACCTGCATCCCAACACTTCACCAGCTGCCATTTGATAGCTGCCAGGGGGCTAAACTTGATCAGCTGGCTAAATATTGTAATTACAAGTGACTAGTATGTTAATTTCATTCATCTTGTCATCAAGGCGTGCAGAGAGTGAGTCACATCTTCAAGGCAGGCAGAAATGTGCTGCACCTTTTGGCACAGCGAACAATGTATTACAGCATATTATAGTGGCCTTCTCTCTGTTGTAAATACACCCCATAAATATGCTTGACAAAATGCAGAAAGCGTCGTTTTAAAAAAAAGTTTTTTAGAGAATGCTTCCTGTTTTATTGTCTGTTTTTTTTCTAATGATGAATGTGGCAATATATTTCCAAAGCACATATTTTAATAATTCTCTGCTCTGTAAAAAAGAGCAGAAGACAGCATTGTGGGAATAGAGACAGAGGCTGAATGGTGAGCTAATCAATAGCATTTTAAGGCTCTCAATATACTGTGTCGAGTTTTGGAATAGCATGGAGAAGAGCTGGCACCACTTTCAACCTATTCCAGGACAAGAGGTACGTCTAAAGCAGACAGTTTTATCCCCCACTGTTAAATCCTCCCTGACAGACACTCTGCAGTGGAAGCATTATCCTGAAATCATTTACTCAAATATTTCAGAGCTGATGTTATTTATCCAATAGTGTACATACAATAATCCTGTAATTCACACCTAAATGAGCTCTGAAACTTTGCGTCTGCGGTGGGTTAGAGGAGGGAGTAGAGAATGATTCACAGAACTTAGGACAAATAAGGTAACATCTCTACAGCTCAATCAGCAACAAAACAGGTCAACAATAATAGGTAACAATAACCTCTATGAGTTTGCTTCTTCATCGATCGCTCAACATATCACCAATGCATCAACTTCCTAGGCCCTGCCCATTATCGAAATGTAAAACCAACACTAGGATTTTTTCTGTTTATGTGCACTAATGATTGATTCCAATGAATTTCATATTTTAACTGCCATCATGTGTAGATGAGCTAATGATACGACGGGTAAAAATACGGCGGCCAAAGTTGACAACACAACCTCTAAACAAACATAATCGTAAAGATGGATCAAATGTTGAAGAAGCCACACACTTCCCTCTGCCAACACATACACACGCACGCACACAGACAAACAGAAACTATCAGGAATATTTGAAATGTTTGGCAAAAAAAAAAAACACTACATAAAATATTTCTAATTTTAGAACAAAGGGAACTGCAAGTACATGCAGTACTATAAAAAGTAACATAACAAGCTTCAATCTCAATGCCTTTCAGTGAAAAGAGTCACATTCTTTTGAGCAATAACTTTAAAGGTGTATTTTTAAAGGGGTATTATCTTTTGGAGTGAATCACCCTTACATATATAAATCCGTGAAACCGCCATGACACACTGCTTCAACATAAGGATGACGATGCACTACTTCCAAAGAAGAGAATATAGAAAGAGTCTCTTAATACATGCAACACAAAAATATACATTTCTACTTCCCTCTACTGGTCAACTGTTACTACGAAGCAAATGATTTCCTCCACATTCAAAACATTCACAATAACATCACTTCCCCTCTTCTTCCTGCATTTTGGTTTCATGTCAACAAAAACAAATTTAAAGAATGTTTCAGTGAGTGCAAGTCTTGTTGATATAAATGAATTTGAGCACTGGCAAAGATGACTTGGGGACAAATATGTTGGGATGCTCCTCCGGGAGTGTGTTAGTTGCAGTAAACATGAGCAGATTAAACTCAAAGTGATGATGACCTAATTAAAAACTGCAAACCTAAAAGTGTTTTTTACAGCGCAGCCACTATGGAAAGCAAGCAAGCAAGTAGTAGTACCCTCCAAGTGGACTGTAGCAGTTTTATATGTACATTTTATGTTTCCAAGTAAAAAACAAACAAAAAAACAATTCAATTAAAGTTATGTTGAACTGAGTCGATAGAAGTTATCCATCCATCCATCGTCAACCGCTTATCCTGCATACAGGGTTGCGGGGGGGCTGGAACCAATCCCAGCTGACATTGGGCGAAAGGTGGGGTACACCCTGGACAGGTCGCCAGTCCATTGCAGGGCCAATAGAAGTTATTTTAATGAAAATATCTATTATGTTTTAATTAAAGAACACAAGATAAAATCGATATACCAGAATTACAACACCTAAAACTTAGATTTTAATCTAAATGGAGTCAAAGTGATTTTTTAGTCATGCTGGCATTAGTGATGACAATATCAGTCTGCCTTTCGTTCTATCCACCACTTTGGTCCAGACTGAAATATCAACAGCTATTGGATGGAATGTCATGAATTTTGGACATTTGTTTTCCCCAGAGCCTGAAGTCTAATGATTTTGGTGACACACTGACTTTTCTTCTAGCGCGACCATGAGCCACTTTGGTGATGCCTTAACTTTTCATCTAGCCCCACCATCAGAACAAAATTTCCAATGCTTTTATCATATGGTTTATTACTAAATAACTGCAAAACTAATGACATTTCCATCAGCCTCAGCTTATTGCTAATTAGTAAGTGTTAGCATGCTAACACATTAAACTAAGATAGTGAGCATGGTAAACATTATACCATCTAAACAGCAACATGTCAGCATCACCATTGTGAGCATGTTGAGCACCGCAAAGTACAGCCTCACAGAGCAGTTAAAATGGCTGTATGTGCTTCTTTTTTGTCTTGTAACAATTTATACTGCATCTTTCATATTTCATATACACTTCTTGGAAGGTTACATAAAGCTACAAAAGGAGGGGATGGGGGGAGAAATTCCTACTTTAAACAAAATATGTATAGTCACACCCTATGTTTGCCATACATCTGTACTTAACTGTAAGAACGATTTTCATTGTACTCTCATTAGACTTTTGTGTTCCATTCAATTCAGTTCACACATACTGTATATATTAAGAGGACAGAAAGTAGTATCTGCAGCCATCTTCATCTCTTGGCTTTGTGCCTGAGTTTAACTGGTCAATGAATTCCTAAACACACTTGACCAGTTGAGGTGCTCAATGTCACAATGACCCTTCATCTGATAATCAAACATGGAGGAGTGGCGGTCTCACAAGGTGTGTTATAATTGTACTTTAGCCAAA